AGACAGAGGGAAGCCACGTAACGTCGGTGAGAAATCGACTGAAATCGAGATGCCAGGTCAGGATTAATTACATTACAGATTCTCCATTGGATTTTGTCAATATTTTAGACGCTTGACCTTAAAAATTTATTTTGGGAGGATTTATATTACTAAAGACATAATAATATAAATCCCCAGAAAATACATTTTCGAGGTTAAGCGGCAAGACTTCCTGTTATCTGGGGTTTTTTTTTTAATATTGTCAGGATAAATTTAAACCATTTTGTAAAATTATACCACTTACAATTACGGTCTGACGAGACAAGTATTAAAAACTTACTTGTCGAAATAAATTATAATTTATAATCATTTCGAGAATCATTAAATTTTCCTTTGATGTTATTATATTGCTCTGTATACTATACATTGAGCTTTTTATGGATTTTTTTAATATATTAAAAAAGACCTTATTTACATTATTCGGACTTTGTATCATCTTTGTCATCAACGTTTCGGATGATTTTGTCAATTTTATTTCGTCATTGGAGTAAAAACTGTTATAACTATCTCATCCATTAAACATGGAACTCACACTCAATGGAACTAGATTACAGTGACAGGACCCAAAAGAGTGTGAGTTCAATAAAAGCAGTGGAGAACTTGGAGAAAGTTCGACATTACAACCATTAAACATGGCAGTCCAGAACAGTCTAACCTAGTGAGAGCGAAATAAAGGGTTCAGTTCAACAACCACCTGAGGAAGTCCAGAGCCAACAGAAACGTTGTAATAGATATTGCGACAAAGATAAAGAATAATGTAAATAGTGTACATAATACCTCATCTTAGAAATATAGACAGATACTAAAAAGACCTACTTGCATTATCCTTTCCACCTACGGATTTGATATTATATATATATATATATATATATATATATATATATATATATATATATATATAAATATATATAATGACCACTTTAAGGTACCATTACAATAATTTATTTCACCAAAATCCTTTTTAAAGGACTCCGGATCATCAGGTAACAATTCCAACTACGAAATGAAAGGAAAAATGGGATTAGAAATTGATGGGTAGTGTAATTTTTGTAATATATATATGAGGGTGTGCATATCACCAATAACATACTTACAGCCTGATTTAACTTCCATATTAAGCTCTGTAATTCTTTTCGGTGATTGGAAGCTGGAGCATTGCAACGGTAAAACATGGCTGATGATCTGGGCGGCTTAAAAATTACCTACGACCAGGTGAATTCTACTAATCAATATAATACCCCATTATTTCCACTGTACAATCGCATGAACTGTTGTAAAGCATTGAGTCTGTTTTGTTCAGTGTCCTCTTCCTTGCGTCAAGAATACAAAAAATGGATTTTTTTTGCCGTATCAAACCGCGTCTCAGGTTCAATAAGAAATATCGGTTCCGATTGAGCGGAATTACAAGCAGAGATTTAAAATCATAAAACTATTCCGAATGTATTGTTTCCGCTGAATATAGGTAAGTGAATATGGATAGGTAAAAGATAAGTAGGTATGTCGAACAAGTAGGTATATCGAATAAATTGCTATATCGAATATTGAACAGAGATTAACTAATCCGATGGGGGAAAGGAATCAGATAGGGCGTGTAAGGATAGAAATGTCATATGTAAATATAGAAATGGATAAAGTTAAAAAAGATCAACACACATAAAAATCTTGAAAAGTGAAAAACGTGCATACAAAAAACAAAAATCAAGAAGTATAAACGCTCAATTGCTGATATCCACTGCCGAGTGAATAGAGTGATTGCTGGAGAGTCCGTCTCCGAAACTCTGGGTTCGGGATGCTAAAGGTAACATCAGTCAGCTAAGTGACAAACATTGTACTTGTATCAAAGATATATATATATATATATATATATATATATATATATATATATATATATATATATATATATATATATATATATATATGAGCATGACCTTTATACGTCGAATACGAGGGAAAGTTCACTATATATATATATATTTGTGGTGGACTATCCGGTCGTATTGGACGTATGAGTGTCAAGTAGCTAAGTTCCTAGATACCGACAACCCACACGCCAGCACCTATGATTTGATTCTAGTGGTGAAGACTTTGTGCAGAACCAACCACACTTTTTGAAGGGCCGAATACAGAGACCTGGTGCACAAACGGACCTCCGCAGGTTTTGAATTCAGAGTTGTCTTTCTCCTAGACCATTTGCTATCCAAGGCTATAGAACCCAGTCTGTCCTGCTATTTACTCATAGCTGGAGGGACAAGAAAGGATTAATACCTTTCCCAAGTGTATTAGTAGGTAAGTGATTGTAATAGATCTGACTGGAATTCGAACTCGACTCTCTGATTCCTCAATCCGAGCTGCTATCCACTACCCCCACCGTGCCTGCCCCCTCTCTCCCTCTCCCTCTCTCTCTCTCTCTCTCTCTCTCTATCTATATATATATATATATATATATATATATATATATATATATATATATATATATATATATGGAGAGAGACAGACAGACAGACAGACAGATTGGGCATATAAAACATAGTGACAGTTGATTCAAGTGATATTCAGACAATGTGTGGCTGCTACTTTCGCAGACTCTATATCATAGGCCACGGGGGGGGTTAAGGGAAGTGGAGGAAGGAAGAGACCTACTCTTCCCATCACTTTTGTTTCGGGCCTTCGAAAAGGCAATAATGTCATATAGTCTGAAGGAGCGTGAAAGTCACAGACACCACCCACTATTGATTAACCTCCTGCTATTTATATATATATATATATATATATATATATATATATATATATATATATATATATGCCGAGTGTAACGTCAAAATTGTCCAATTGTTAGATTAAGCTTTGAACCGTTGTATCTTAGAAATGATTAATCATACTGAAATTCTCCGAGGTTTTTATAGCACAATTGGCTCTACTTTGAGCAATAGGAATGTATAATTACTCTCCAAGCTTACCAGATGAATAGTGAGGAAATCCATCATAAACGAAAATGAAATGTTCCTCATTAATTAATCATAGCTAAAGATCGGAAGTATTGAAATAAAGTTCAAATATATATATAATATTTCAGGATTATTTTCCAACTTCTTCAAGATGATCTTCACCCTCTCTAACCGTCTAACTTTCTATCCTGGAGTAACAAGGTGCTTCACATGTTTCCCGTACGATTTCATTTTCAAGTCATTTTTTTTCACTGCTCTTTGGACTATCATAGCTGAAACTCCTCTCTCACGTGCCAAACGTTTATGAAATGAATTGGAGTTTTTCTAATTGATCTCTTTAGCTCTAAGTTGAAATGATGATCCCTCTTCCTGTTGTGACCTTCTGATCCAGCTTTTCTCTCTACTGATCCGTCTTTTTAAAACCGTTCTATTGATGGTTCTTGAATGGACTTTGAAGATGGAAGCCAGAGTATGAATGTTGGTATCACTACTGAAGGCTTGAATGATCTTTTTCCTCTCGCCATTTCTCATTTGGGTAGACAGTGAGGCTGACAAAAAACGATTTTAACCTGTTTCCTTTCTAGCTCAATAACTCAAACAGCTTCTTTGACAGATGATGTCAAGATGGCTAATAAACGTCTTATCTGAAAATCTAGAAAAAAAGAAACTCAATTAGGTCAGTGTATTTTTTACCCTCCAGATATATATATATATATATATATATATATATATATATATACCTATGGTGTATCAAAAATGCTTTTACAAACTTTGGGGCGAGTTCCTTACACCAAAACAAAGACAAAAGTCCACATAAACATATGTCCGCAAATCCTTCGTTTTTGAGTTATTAAGTTTAAAGAAAGATTACGGTAGTTGACACTGAGTTGCCATGTAGACTAGTTTATATTTGTTATTCGTGTATATATATGTGGCTAGTTTTTCTTCAATATTTAACGTGTGTAGTAGTGAGTTAACTGAGAAGTGTTCTGTTTAACAATGGCAGAATATTCATATCGTAAATAGGCAGATATAATTTTTACATACGGTCGTGAGAATGGTAATGGACTCGAGGCTGCCCGTCTGTATCAAATTGTGTTTCCAGACCGAAAGCAACAGAGTCATCTAACCTTTGCTCGTATTTATTGTCGCGTTGGATCCGTGGCACCATAAACTATGGATCGAGGAAGACCGAAAACCGCTCGTACGCCCGACAATAAAGAATACATTCTACAGGCTCTCGGAGACGATCCGGGTATCAGCACACGTCAAGTAGCCCTAGTATGTCGTACATCTGATAGTACCGTATGGAGGGTACTTCAAGAGCAGTTCCTGTATCCGTTTCATTTGCAACATGTGCAGGTTCTTTCGCCCTCAGATCAATCACCACGGGAGAACTTTTGCCAATGGCTTATTGCACAAACTGCCGACCAATTGTTTGTCTCTTCAGCCTTGTTTATATTTGACCCTGTTTTTGGTGTCAGGAACCCCGGCCCTAAAGTTTGTAAAAAGGATTTTTGGTTTGTTCTTCTATTGCACATTTAACAACGTCTACTTTAAACGTAATAACTCGAAAACGAAGGATTTGCGAACATATATTTATATGGACCTTTTCTCCTAGTGTTCGTGTGAGATACCTTCCCCCCAAATTTTGTAAAAGTATTTTATTTTTGATCCAGCTTATATATATATATATATATATATATATATATATATATATATAAACTTATCACTTCTAAAATAATTTAAATTTTAATTGAATTAAAAAGTCCAAAATCATTGTGTGTGTGTGTTTGTGTGTTTTTATTATTATTATTATTATTATTATTATTATTATTTATCAATAGTCGCGTGAGAAAATTGTACAGCGAGAAATTAAGGATCAATAACCTCAACCTGATTTTATGGTAGACATTTGAAATGCAAACATTCATTTGAAATCATAATTAAACATCTTGCATTGACACCAAACTTGCTGCCGTTCTAAAACTGACAGAATAATTTATGTACGCATACAACAAAAAACATAGATAGATAGATAGATAGATAGATAGATAGATAGATAGATAGATATGAACAGACTCAGATAGATAGATAGATAGATAGATAGATAGATAGATAGATAGATATGGGAAAATCTCGAGAATATAAATTGAAGTCTCGATGCAGTTCTATACATCCAAAGACAGATAACGGAAAGCAGCGAATAGGTAAGTCAGGAAAATTAAGCATACCGCCTGATTAGCGATCGGTCTAGAAGGAAATCAAGAAAGATGCCGAGAAAGTGAATGTAAAGCAAAAGAATAAAGGATCGAGAAAAGACGGATTTATGAAGAGACCACTTTCACGTCTTCTTTTTTTTTTCTTCTTCTTCTTCTTCTTCTTCTTCTTCTTCTTCTTCTTCTTCTTCTTCTTCTTATGCTGCTGCTGATTCTTTCTAACTAATCAGCTTAAAACCGAATGGAGATATTGATCCAAACTTGGGTTTTCTATGACGTTTGACTGAATAAAAGGAAGTCGGGTTTCAGCTGCGACTCCAAATTTATAACGCGGCTCCGTCGGTAGAGGCGGATGGGATTTGAGGTTCGAATATTTTATGGGCGCCCGATTCAGGGTCGGTGTTTACGGTTAGGCAGACACAGGCTGAAAAATATCGTGGATGATTCGAATGAATATACCACATAGCAAGGAATGATGAAGAAGGTTTTGGAAGCTGAAAGAACCAAAGTAAACAGACAAGAAGAATCAAATCGAATACAGAATAGAAAATGCATCAGGTTACCAAAAGCAGACCAAGCCTAGAATATAACTGTGTTCGAATTTCTTAGACTAAGCATTTCTTCATTAGTAGTAGTAGTAGTAGTGGTGGTGGTGGTGGCGGTGGTGGTAGTAGTAGTAGTATTGATTGTTTTGATCTCCTCTCTGATTTTTAGATGTTTCGACCGACTGATGGTGTTCATGTGTTCATCTCTGCTCCTACCCACAGCATAGAGCCCGGACATCTTTCTTGATACATGAGCTCTTCCAGCAGGGCTGCTTTCTGCGCACTCCCAAAAATGATAGGTATCACCAAGACGTCTTCCAAAGTAAAAAGATTCCTGCAAATAAACCCAAGTGTCCCAGCCACAAAATTATAAACTTGAGCTGCTGCTGCTGCTTCATAAATCTCTCCGACTTCCCCTACCACGTCTTATAACCTCTGTATTTTCATTATTATTATTATTATTATTATTATTATTATTATTATTATTATTTTCTTTGATTTCTGGCGTTTACACATTTCTTTCCGGGTCCCGCCCAGGGACCTAAGGTTAGAAATGGCATCATGACACTTTCCACTGACAAAAAAGGAAAAAAAAAGAAATTACATAAATAAAGCCCTTCATAAGGTGTGGGCTGTACTTGTCAGAACAATTTTTTGTATCTCTTTGAGGCATGGACTCCCAGGAATCCCTTCAATTAGTCTACTAGAATCTTTTCCAACCAATCCTAGGGCTCCAACTACAACAGGAGTTGTTGATGTTCCCATGTGAAACATTTTTGAGATTTCTATTTCAAGGTCCTTGTTTTTTGACAGCTTTTTGAATATCTTCAAAGATACATTATTATTATTATTTAATCAAATATTTGCGATAAAAAAATCAGCAGGCAGAAAATCCTATGTGGTTTCTTTTGTAAATGACACTCTGAACCTTAAATGATAACGAAACAGAAAGGAAGACACTAAAAATAATCGATTTCTTTTATTAAAATTCACATAATGCAAGGCTCAAGAGCCACTTAAGGTAGAGGATTACTGAATCAGTTGCGTAATATGTGTTGTGGCCTGTTTAGGTGCCAGAAATAAAGACACGGAAGACGAAGGTAGGATGAACAAGTATATTGAAATAGATATATACAAAGCAAGCGTGTTAGTAATAAGCAGATAGAGGTGTACGTCCGAACGGTAGGTTAACACTGCGTCTAAGCTATATCTAACAGCCACCCACGTGTGGGTTGTATGTGTCACATGGCCGAGTTTACCGTGGGTTCTCCTAGCCCATAGGCTCGGCCAAAAATATTCCCTTAGAACCCGTATAAACGGGTTCAGGGTCTGTCTACCTCCCCGGACGAAACTCTGCCCTTCGGCATAGCTTCGTCCGGGTTCCTCTCTGCCAAAGCAGAGAGTCCGACAGAAGTCGCACACAGTCAGAGACTGCGTCTACGCTCCCCAACCGACTCTTCAAGTTAGTATTTATGAGAGGAGGAAGAGTTCATTCTACTGCAGGAGGGTTTACCACAATATGCACATAAGAGGAGTAAGTAGGAAGTGACTATTACGCGGATATGTGGCATAGATAACGATTTGATTGAAGATTGAAAAGATTAAGTCTGTAGTATTTGGGTAAGCACCCACGTGGGAGTCTGTTCCACAAAGTAGCAGTTCTTGGAAAGTTGCAATTCGAGTAGAGCGTCCTTCTTACCAGGCAATGAGGATGATACAACAGCTTGGGATGTAGTAAGGCATGGCTTGGATCTAAAGGACTGAGCTGATGGAACAAAGGAATATAACTCCTCTGCGCATTTGCCATGGAAGTACAGATAGAATAGCAATAGTTTTGCGATTATGCAGCTGTGGGGAAGGGGTTGTAGGTGGGAATAAACCATCCCCACGAGGCCACGAAAACGATTTTAAACTCTGTTTAGTAAAGATTTGTTTATTTAATGAGTGGGGGGGAATTAATGGCTATAAATAGAAATTTAAAATTTATACGGGATTTTTTATAAAGCTAGAATTAATATCGGATGTTTTGCGTTGTAAACGCGCCGCAGGATATGATTATGAAGCCGGGTTGGGAAATTCCTCTACTTCCGCTGTATTCCCCAGATATGATACCGACAGATAATCATTTGTTTTGCTGCATTCATCGTTCCTTGTTTACTCAGCGGTTTTTGTCTGCCCAGCAGTCTTTAAAGATATTGAAAAATTCCTTGTAGAATTAATCGAATAAAACAAAAACGGAATCGTTCTTTTATAATGGAATACACAGTTTAGTTGAAAATGCAAAGTCATAGAAAACAGGAAAAATATTTTGAACATTGAACAATGAACAGAAATTAATGCGAATTAATTATTTGGATATATTTGTTGCAAATATTTGCATCAATCCAACATATTGCTTGTATTTGTGCAGAAATTTTTGTTGAAGACCAACTATATAACACACCAAAGTGACGCGTGAAGACGCGATATTTGTAAAAAAAAAAAAAATGACATAATACACTCAAATGCTTGCAGATTCAGCACAATAGTTAACAGTCATCTCACTCAACCAACTGATAAAAAAGTCTTTGATAATGACATCTGTAAGATGAAAGCGCTCATAAGACATCACAATTTATTTCCAAACTCTCTCCGGAACCTGTCACCCAAATGAATTAAACAGTAAATACTTAAATAAAAACATCTTAAACAAAAAGCTTTCACTGCTTGTCAAGTAACATCTATCTATCTATCTATCTATCTATCTATCTATCTATCTATCTATCTATCTTATTCCATTTTTCTCTATATCCATACATATATATAGTAGCTTGTATTTAGATTTAAAACGCTTTAAAATTTCTTATATTTTTTTAATACACACAGACACATACACACACATATGTGTGTGTATATGTGGGTGGGTGTGTATATATATATATATATATACACACACATATGTGTGTATATACATATGTACACATATATATGTGTGTGTGTATATATATATATTAGTGTGTGTATATATATATATATTAATCATTTAATATCTATATACACAAATATATATGTGTATATATACATATATGTATTAATCATTTCAGCCCAAACAAGCCGAGAATGCCACTAGTACGCGGGGAGAGGGGAGAGGGTACAGGGATTGAAAAGTGAGAGAAAAGACTGATGGGAGTTTCACAGGTGAGAAGTGCGAGAAAAGAAACTGTTGGAGTAGAAGTTGCATTTAGCTATTTCAACCCTTAAACAGGTGGGACCTAGACGTCAATCTAATGACACTTTTAAATTCATACAGTCGAAGCACCAAGGAAAAAAGTTCTTCAGAGCAGTTGCGATGAAAATATTTGTGGAAATGACAGAGGAAAGTCACGTGACGTTGGTGAGAAAGAGGCGTGGCCAATAGGCAAGGAACAATAATAAAAAAAAGAAAAGAAAAAGACCAATCGCTGTTAAATATACAGATTAATTGTAATAAAAATGATGACTGATTCAAACGTGGCATTCAAACTAAAATTTAAAATAACAGATAACATTGAGAGAAATAACGACATTAAAGAGACGAGAAAAAAATAAAAACGAAAGATCAACAGAGTTACATGCTTCTTAAACAAGAAAATATTCAAATGATCATTCAAACAAAATTTATAAAATGGTAGATACCGCTGAAAGATCTTTCAAAACATATATATTAAACAATATATATATAAAGACATTTTTTATGTTTACACGTTCTTTTTATAGATACAAATATTTAAGTAAACGCTTTGTTTATAATAAACTGCATTAACAACATTTACCGGCCTGAATGTCCGAGTAATTTTCATAGAAAATATGCGTCCTCCGACAGGAATGGAACCTGTATCCTATACGGAACCGTCATTTAGCCTGACGTGCTTTTACCGATTGAGCCACAGAGGAGCGTTTCGGTTAGCAAGGTCGATTTTACTGTTTTTAAACTTCAATTCTCCATGATTTTCTCTCATACATTCATATCTGCTCAAAGCGTATCCAAATGTAAACAAATGACCTCAGACATTACGAAATGGACAATTATTTCAAGACATTTTTCATGTTTATACGTTCTTTTTATACATTTTTAAATGGTTTCAATGCCTGTGATGTTGTTACATTTCTTCAGTATTGCGTTATTCTTGACCCTGTCATCCTATTTTATATCACATATGGCCCGAAGACAGCTCATGTGAAAGGCATCAAGTTGATTTATGTGTTTGCGGTAGAGGGTCCAAGTTTTAGCACCATAGAGAAGGGTTGAGAGAACGACTGATCTGTATATGTCGATCTTTACTCTGAGAGAAACGTCTTTGGTGTTTTATAACCTAAGTTTAAGATTACTGGATACCGTGCTGGCTTTGGCTGTTCTGGATTGGATTTCTCTGTCCATTTTTTCATCAGAAGAGACTGTTGATCCAAGATATCTGAACGCCTCAACAGTTTTTAATGTTGTACTATCAATGAAGACGGAAGGATTTTTGAGAGATGGATTGCCTGGTACTGGCTGATACATTAACTCAGTCTTCTTTATGTTGATAGTGAATCCAAATGCTTACATTGTCTCGGAGAATTTATCAAGGATAGTTTGAATGTCTTCTAGACTGTGTGCTAATAGAGTGGCATCATTTGCAAAGAGAAGATCGTGTACCATCTGCAGAGCAAGTTTCGATTGTGCTTTAAAACGTTGCTGATTGTATAGACACACCTCCACCCCCATTTGTTCTGAATTCAACACTAACACCTTCACATAGGCCAGAGAATTCTTTTTCAAGCATAGCAGAAAAGAAAAGCGCAAAGAGAAGAGGATCAAGAAAGTAACCTTGCATTGTACCATTGGAAATGAAAAAGGCATCTGAGTGCTCACTTCCCGACCTTACAAAAGCTTTCATTCCTTTGGGAAAGGAGATAATAATATGGAGCATTTTTTCTGGAATACCTAATTTTGACAAAACTTTCCAAAGAGCAGTTTGAGATACAATATCAAAAGCCTTTGTGAAGTCTACAAAAAGAATAAAATAGATCCTTGTTTTGTTCTCGTGCCTTTTCCTGGCCCTACCGGAGACGGAAGATCATATCCACGGTTCCTCTACCGTATATATATATATATATATATATATATATATATATATATATATATATATATATATATACGATGTCTGTATGAAAATTGACAGGACTGGTGTTACAAACAACAAACTACATGGTTTCCCCTACAAAGTAATCTGCCCCCCCACCCTGAATCTAATACACTTTTCCATCCTTCTCTGCTACGCTTCTCTGCCCTGCTCGAACGTTTCTTCTTGGATGCCCCATAGGTCTGTCATTACGGCACACTTGATGGTCTCCACGCCTTCAAAATGGGTCCACTTGATGATCCACTTAAGTTTGGGGTAAAGAAAAAATTCACACGGAACACCATCATGTGAATAGGGAGGTTTTCCCAGTACGGCGAGGTTTTTCTCGGCCATGAACTACGGGATTCTCAGGGCGTTGTGAGTAGATGCCTTGTCGTGGTGAAGCAGACATGATTTGTCCTGCCATAAAACCATGTGAAAAAATGTAATGGTTGCAGAAATCTAAGATTACAGTTATATATTCCCAAGATATCCTGTTAGATGATAACACACAGTACACGCAATCCCATTACTTTTCAGACAGACCTTGTATATTAAGCAAAAGTAAGTTTCTTTCATCCGGGCTCAAAGTGTAATAATAGGTATTTCCTTGAATGTGTGCAACTTGACATTATTCCACTTTTTATCTAATAATTTACTTCTTTTTTAAATCATAACTAGTTTTCTTTCGTCATGACATAGCTGACATTTGCCAGACCCCACTTTTAGCTTTTTAAAAATAATCTTTCAATTAACAATAGGGAAAATTATTTTTTATTAACTTTTTTCCCTCACGTCCCACATATATTTTAAAAGGGCAGTACTGGTTTTATATGTATCGCTATTTTATGGCTATAGAATCGTTATTGAAAAACGAAATCATCTTTAAAATTAAACTCTGGGCGGAGCGTTTCTACTGTGAAGTCAACGGTCATGACCAGGCGAGCCTTCAATTTGGAGGACATCAGCTGTGGTTTGACCTAGAGAGAGATGGCTTCCGGCAGGTCAGCTCTCCCAAGACATGTAAAACATAAATGAATAACTATCCGGCTTAAAACTCCTTGTGTAGAGGGAACTGTCCAGGTACCTAGTTACGTAGCAACCCTTCGATCATGGGCTGATTATGATGATGATGGTGATTAAAAGACCGACTAAAACTTTTGAACCCAATTTTAATAGAAATTTATTATCTGAAATTTATAATCTGAAATTTATAGACTGTTTAACGGCATATCAACATTTTTATGGGTCATTTAATGCCGAAATTTAATTTTCTTAAGAGCTTTGGTATTTTTTTTTCTTTTTACAAAAATCTATTGCTGGTAATTTATTCTTTAATAATCTATTGCTTGTATTTTTTATTATGAAAATGTATTTTTGTACTTTCAGTTATTTTTGCCCCAGTTTGGTGGCCCACTATTTGCCCATAGCTGAGACCCTGAAAGGTCTTACCACCCCTGGTCAACATGAAACTGGGGTGTTAGCATAAAAAGAGGTGGTTCTACACTTCTTAAATGCACCTGATCAGATGACTTTCTGCCGGATCTAATTTATTATCGTACCCAGGACGTTTGAAGACTGTCACTATCATCGAATATACTTGGGTTGCCATTTCATAAGTACACATTTCAAAGGGAAATAAAAACGTCTAAAACCTTTTTTTCCAATTACTAGTCCAGTTTTAAAGGGAAATCGAAGTGTATAGCACGACAGATTCCATGTGGAATAAAAGGGTGAAAAAAAAAAAAGTTTCTTTCACCTCAATCAAGCGATCATTTCTCTAAGAATTCTAGGCCTTTCAGGTCAGTTCCGGCAGGCTGGGAGCCGACAACCGGAGTTAAGCACTAAACGGCAAGCAATAAGATGCAATCAGAAAATTAAATTGTCTAAAGGTCGACTTGCCTCTGATGTAAAGTAGTCAGGAAAATTGAAAATACCGACAAAAAAAATGTGTTCGAAGAATCAAAAACAATTAAAATGACCAACACACGTAAAAGGGGAAAGAAAATCAAAGGCCTGACAAATAATACATTTATGGCGAGTTGCGGCGGACGGGAATACTTAAAACTGGAAGGGGTAAGGAATCTCTATAAAACACTTGAGTGCATATAAATAAATAAATTTCCAAATAAACAAAAGTATTTCAGATGTCTGTGGAGGATGTTAACCAGTGAATAATATATATATATATATATATATATATATATATATATATATATATATATATATATATATATATATATGCACAAAAAAACCTGGGAGCTTAACACATGAAATGGCTTCCTCAAAGAAAAAATAAAATTTTGTTTTTTTATTACCTGAGACGTGATTTCTAGAGATGCGTAAAATGTCTAATGGAACACAGGAAACACGGGATGTGCGTGTATATGTGTGTATGTGTGAGAGAGAGAGAGAGAGGGAGAGAGCAAGGAAGAAAGAAAGAGAAAGAACAGATTTGAAGATCTATATCTATACATACACAAGTACTACCCACTCTGGTAGATTAACTTGTCACTAATCGCAACTTCGTGTAATTCATACACATATAACACTCATCTCATCACAAATGACCAAATTACAAATATCAATTTTAATCTCCTATAATAAATAATAATCAATTTTAATCTCCTATAGTAAATAATATTTAGCTCTACTCTATATTGAGGCCTGTTTTAAATTAAATGTTATGAAT